AACGTTACGTGTGTTTTATCTCCTTGTGTTCCATGGAGCCGTAATTCCATGAAATTTCCGTAAAAGTTACTAAAAGTTACTAGTTATTACTAGTAATGCTTTTTTAATTTTATTTATTTAACTAAATTTGACGATTTAATTAAAATTTTTGTTAAAATTATAATATATTCTGTAGTTTTCTTATGAATAAAATACAAATAAACAATTATAATCTGTTAAATAAAAAATAGTAATACCGTTACGTGTGTATTTACGGCTCCATGGGACACAAGAAGAAAAAACACACGTAACGTTACGGACGCAATCCCTAGTAACTTTTGCGGACTTCCGGTGCGGATTACGGATTACGGGTTCTATGTGACGCCGGCCTTATCGTAAACACCCTTTGGCCCATTCCTAGTTCTAGGGATTCTAGTTGTACAATGGTATATACTGTGTTCAGATGGCGCAAAAATCGTTCCCACTTTCACAAGAAGAAGAGTTTGTATCGCATGTGGATCGCACGTGATATTTGCATTTCCTTAAGATTTAGTTTTTGACCTGCATATTTACGACTGTATAAATTAAATAAAGTGAATAGTGTATTGATTAAATTTAACAAATGTGTTAAGATAATCTATTGGAACAAAATGAAGAACAAACCAATTCGTCATAAGGAAATAAACACTTTCCAGGTATATTGAAGTTGACTAAAGCGTAAATCTAACCTGATTCTATGTTATACTTTTTAACTGGCCTTCTTTTTTGTAGTTCAAACCGTTCTCCAAAAGAGTGACGGAAATTGATGTCGATGTCTTTCATCGTGTGACACATATAAATGAAGATGATCCTGAAGAAGTTGAAACGTATTTTTTTAAAACTCTGCAAAAATGGAATTTTCTTAACCTAACAGATGGTTATTCGACTTTTAAGAAGCAAGTACGGGATATAATCACATTGCCGCAGTTACTTCATAAGAAACAATACATAATCGACATACTTATGGAATATCTAAAAAAACGGGATCCTTCATTTTTGCAGCCGATTCTAGAGTGAGTATACATAGAAGAAATTTGGTTCATGACAAAAAACAGCTTTTTAAAAAAAGTGTGTTTAACAACATTGTTTATTTGGTAATATTGTAACACAGTATTCTATGTATTAATTTTTGGTTCAATTTAGTTTGGTATTTTTTTATTATATAAACTTGGGATAAATTTTTTGTTTTTTATTTTTTTTTAAATATAATAAAAATAAAATCCTTTTTTTTTAACCTGATTTTTCTTTCAATTTTAAAAATTATGACTAGGCTAGTTTTAATGAACAATAAATTGTAGATATTAGAACTAAAAAGAAATGTAAAAAGCTAAAAAGTTTTGTCATAAGCTAAGTTCTTTTGAAAAGAATTGTTTAAATATTTATTTGAATATATCTATATCTTTACTTCCCATAGGTTAGTGGTAGCTGTAGCAAGAGATCTTCAAAAAGACTTTTATGAATATTTTCCAGAATTCTTGTCTGAAATAATTAATTTGTTACAAACAAAAGACATCGAGCAAATTGAGCATACATTTATGACTTTGGCATATCTGTTTAAATTTCTCTGGCGATATTTAGTAAAAAATATAAGAACTGTGATCAATTTATTGCTACCATTACTGGCTGATGCACAACCAGTCTATATAAACAGGTTTGCTGCTGAAAGTTTCGCATTTGTAGTTCGCAAAATCAAGGATAAAGATTCCTTCCTAAAATTAGTGTTACATATTTTAAAGGATAATGCAACTGGAGTAACAGGTTTTGGAAGATTATTGTTTGAAGTTGTATCTGGTACTTCAGGGCAATTTCACTCTTGTGCCGAGCAAATACTATTACTTTATTTTAATGCTTTGCAAGATGACTCTGTTAATCAAAAGCTTACTTATGAATTATTGAAAGAGATTGTAAGTTGCATATTAGAAAATTTAAATCCACAAAAATGTGGTATTATGTGGAACGTTATATTAAAAGTGATAGATTTGTTTGTTGAAAAATTGAAGTATTCTAAGGAGGAACAATCTTTAATTCTATTTCTGCGTCTTATACATATCATTATCAGTTATAAAAATGGAAAATTTCTAATTGATGCCATATCTTTAATTAAAAGATTTGCTATTATAATAGACACATTAAATAATGATATTAATATCTTGCATGAAGTTATGAATGTGTCTGTTGCCATTCTCTTAGCATCCAATGTAAAATTGACACAGGAAAATTCGAGTCAACTGTTATTGAAAATTTTAACAGTGAACAATATAGAATTATTGTATGCTGCTGTTGAAAATTTAATACACCATTCTTCCTTTGATTCTTTAGTATTACCGCACATAATGCGACACAGCATTTCTATTGGATTTGAAAGTAGAACGTTACTTCTATTTACTAAAATAATTCTTGCAAAAGCACCACCTTGCCTTAATGGTACAACTTTGCACAAATGGAGGAAATATATTTTAGATATACGTAATATTAGAGTTGAGAGTATTGATTATCTTTTAAAAGAATTGAGGACATTATCTACTGATATTGTTTCACTGGATGCAGTGAGGATTTTGATAATCTTATCACACTTAAAACCATTATGTGAAACATTTAAGAATGCGTTAAAAGATGGGTTGTTATTTTTATATAAAAAATTATTAGCTAATAACGCTGATACTGTATATGTTAATAAAACTAGTTTTATATTTTTATTAATGCTGGAAACAATAATACATATATCAGAATCAAGCGATCTTCATGATTTTTTGGTGCAATTTGATATAAAAATAATTGATCTTATTAACAAATATTATGAAAACAAGTATATATTAAACGCAATAGATTTCTGTTTAACATATTTTGCTAAGTCGCAGTATCATGCTTTCTATATTAATTCTGCATCATTTGACATATTAAACAACAAAATAGTGAAAAAAATGAATTCACCTTACAGCAATATTCGATTAATTGTAACGCATTTGTATTCTTTGTTTTCCAATGTTGAAGATTTGAAAAAATACTCAAGGCAAGATAATGAAAAAAATGCTATGGAACTTGTCTATTTGGCAGAATGTGAATTGGTGACAGTGCAAAATTACCGTGCCAAGTTGTTGCATTTGCAAGCTTTAGAATTTCAAAGTAACGCTGTAGCTCATTTATATCCGAAGTATTACGAATTTCCATTAAGATACTTAATAGGCAATTTGTATGTGAATTTTTCTTTACTTTGGCAGCCTGTAAGTATAGTCATAGCCAGTTATAGTAACAAGAAATGCTCACAGTTCTGGCCAACGTTTCTGGCCGAATTAACATTCAATAATGTGTCAGAAATTGAGTGGAAACCATCGTTTGATTGCCAAGTCATTTCGTCGTTAGAAATGCTGGTGGAAAAGCATAACGACAAACCTGATTTTGAAAATCACAAGATTCTTCTTTGGAAATGTATGACTTATTTCTCACATTATGCTGAGATGAAAAACAAAGATTTAACCGGATTATTTATTGATTTTGTAAATACCAATTTTTTTAAATCTACCTCTGAAGATGGCAAATATTGTAATATTGAGAAACGTAAGGAATCAATCAATAATGCCGATGCAGATAACGATACAGACATCGAGAGCGACAAAGAAAGTGATGAAACAGCAAAAACTGTGCAAACTAAGATGAAGAATAGAAGTTACAAAGTAAAACTTTTACTCGCACAGTTGGAGATATTTGATAAAATGCTAAATCCGAAAATGTTACACAGAGAAGTTGAAATGCAGCAGATCTATTTGGATTTACTTTGTTCGAAAAATTCCGACATACAGAAAGCAGCCTTAAGTTGTCTCTTTGCATATAAATATAAATATCTCTTGCCGTACAAAAGTTCTCTGTATAATTTAATAAATGAGAAAAATTTGAAGAATGAACTCACGCGCTTTAAACTGGATCAAGAAAGTAACATGATAGAAGAAGAGCATCGTGAGAATCTCATACCCATCGTAATGAGAATTATCTATGCAAAAATGATGACGAAGACAGGTGTAAGAACTGGCGGGAAAGCCAGTGGATATACGCGGCGAAAGATCATATTACGCTTTTTAAGCGGTACGCAGGAAAAAGAAATGATTGTATTTATTAAAATGGCTTTCAGATCTTTCAAATCGTATACGTTGCTGGAAACGGATGAAGCGTTTAATTTACAGCAATACATCGAGAATATCATCAATACGATCGATTTAAATAACGTTGTACCACCTAAACGCATGCAAAGCACTGTGAATCTATTGGCGATAATAATCGAACAGTTTGGCGGAAAAATGTCGACCGAATTATTACCTCGTTTGCTCAGAATACTGATTTGTATTTTGGCGGAAGTGACTGGAATCTTGCAGAGATCGGAAGAGGTTTATTCAGGATATCTACCAGTAATTAAGAACGTGAAAACAAGTTGCATTAATATGCTGGCTCGATTTTTCACGCATTTTGAGGACTACAATTGGCAGCAGCATGAAATGAACGCGCTTTATCATGTTGCGATATTTCCTTGGTTGCATAAGTTACCTATGGAAGGTATACATAGTCCTACGGCCTTGTTGAAGCTATTTATGGCATGGGGTCAAAATTCGCGGTATTATCCATTGTTCATGAGGCATCAAGAAAATGATAAGTCGATCAGTCCTCTCCCTTATATTATGCAACTCCTTTTAAATCCCAAAACACATCAATCTGTTGTTAACGCTATTATGGAAATTGTCGAAAAGATGTTAACGTTACAAGATTACGGATGCTGTAACGAAGATGCGATGCAAGTGGATGTACAGTTCTTACCGCTAATACCAGTACTGACAAACCTACTCGAAGTGGAGAAGAAAGTGTCTTCAAGCGGAATTAATTACGGTTCCGCCATTCTTCTACCGTATGTCCCTCATATTTTGCAGTTTATCAAGAATAGGTTTAAAGGATTCAATAAAGGTGTAAACAAAACCGAATTGATCATATTGTCACGTATCTCTGAATTTGTCGCAGACGCCGAAACGTGTGAAATGTTATTGAAATTGTTATTACCCATATTAATCAAGAAGGCTACATTTGGTAACAACGAAGAAGTTATTACGAAACTATTGACGACCGTTACAAATCTCATAAAAATTGTGGACAAGCCAGAGACTCATGTGCGTTCTATTGCACCGCTCGCAAGCCTTTTGTCAGATTTGTCTACTCGCAAACTCTTTCTACTATTATACAGTATTATTGCCGAGAGATCCTCAGAAGAGTTTCATGAAACAATGACGCGAGATTGCGATATTTTGACTATGCTTAATGCATGGGATTACAAGTGGATTGACCAGCCCGATTTTCAGAAAAGATTGGACGCCTTTGGAAAGATTAGCACTATGGTTGAGAAAAATACAATCACATTAGAATTCGGTGTAATTGTGATACACAATTGCTTTTATTTCCTCAAGACTGAGTCGGATTTAGCGATAAAAGATTGCTCTGGACAATGCTTGAAGCTCGTCGTATCGAAATTAGCGAAGGAGAATAAAAGCAATACTTTAAACAGACGTTATTTGATGGATGACACAATCCTGGCGCTTACGAGAAAGGGAATCACTAGCAAGAATGAGACTGTTCGCCTTCAGTCGATAGCACTTTTGGGGTATATGGCTTTAGAATGTGCAGACGTGCATCCTATTTTACAAGACTTATCTTTACTTGCTAATCGGGCTGATTCCGAAGTTGATTTCTTCGAGAATATGCAACATTTGCAGTTACACAGAAGAGCTCGCGCATTACTGAAATTTTGCACACTCGTTAAAACGTTGCAGAAGCCGATTAATCCTAAAACATTGACACAATTCATCCTCCCTCTCTGTTCGTCATATCTATGTAACGAGACGTTTGTTCATAAAAATAGCCTTATTGACGTCGCTATTGAAACTGTCGGAATAGTGTGCAAGCTTTTACCATGGCATTATTATGAGATCATTTTGAAACATTATTTGGGCAAGCTGAGGAGCTCCACGGAATATCAAAAACAAATTGTTAGAATAGTAGTCATGATATTGGATTCTTTCCACTATGATCTCTCCAAGTATAAATCGACAAAAGAAATTACGCAAATTGAAACTTCTTCAACAGAAGATCGTAATATTTTGATTGACGAAAAAGAAACTACAACGATTGGGGAAAATGAAAAGCTTGAGGACACGGAACGAGAAGCTCAAGAGAAATTAGAGGAAGCATTAAACGATGAAAATGTCGATAATGTCGAGGAAGTAATTGAAATGAATGAAACGATAAAAGAAAGCATACCAATAATTGATAAACAAATGCTACTTTCTCCATACGGAGCAAAGAGAGTGATATTTAGTATATCGAAGAGTTTATTACCTGAACTGCATCGATCTATCGTGGCCAGATCTCAACAAGACAATAGTCATAAAATCAACCGAAAAAGAATTGCGTCCGAAACGGAGGAAGACGATCTACTACGCGTTCCTATTGCTCTTGCATTCGTTAAATTACTACAGAAAATGCCTGAAGATCTTCTGGAAATAAACTTGCCAGGGTAAGTTTGTAATATTATTTGAAAAACAGTATGAAATTTGCCTTATTTAAAGGGATAAAAATATTCTATTTATCTGTCAAAAATTATTTTGCATTCCTTTGTTATCTTTTGGCTCTTTAAGTGTTTTAAGTAACACACGAGTGCATAAATAGTTTCTTAAAAAAAATATTTTTATCTATAATATTTTCGTAAAACTCTGTATATGTAAATGTTTTGAATGTCTGAAATCGAATTTTTCGTCAAAATTTTTGAATTCAATATGATCTTATACATACAACAAAATATAAATTTATAAAATTATTCTATTCTTACTAAACTTAATTTCTTATGATTTTTATGCTAATTTCTTATGATTTGAATTTGAATGACATTAGAATTTTGAAATTCAAAAGAATATTGTTTTTATAAAATACAAAATAAATTTAAACATTTTAATTTACTTATATTTAAATTAAACATCAACTGTTGTCAACTATTTTTAACTTAATCATATTTTATGTTAAGTTTTTTATTTTTATTCTTGAATTACAATTTACAATTTAAGTAACACTAGAGATTCCTAAAATTTTCTGGAAAAATTTATATAAAACCTATTATATTTGAATTTGTAATTATCGTGTTGGGTTCAGGATTGGGAACTCCAAAATCTTGACTGCGGATTTCAATTCTGTATCTTGAGAAATTCCAAATATATACTTTGTGAAAGTAATTGTTTTCTTATATTTCTTATATAGAAATCATTTTTTGCAAGAAAGCATTTTCATTTCTTAACACTTAAAGGATTATAAAGATACATCATTTAAGTAGATTATTTCAAATTGAGACTTTTTAATTTGTGAGTGCATACGTGTGCGTATATATACAGGATGTCCCATTTTATTTTAAACAGTCAAATCTGGAAATCACGGGATTTTAGAAAAAAATGTTTTGTACAAAAATTTTATGACTTAAGGGACATAAGATAGTGTCATTGGTTTGTCCTTGGATAATCGTTTGAAGATCACATAAAGGTCACCTTTAATTTCTTAAATGGAAACCCCCATTTTTCGTTGCATATTCTTGTATCTTACTTCGAGAGCTTTTCAAAACACTATGATAAAGTATTTTTTCATTAAGCATTTTTCGAGTTATGAGGCTTGAAGTTTATAGTACCGCCGGCATTAGCATTACCCAAAGTGTACCGCGTGGAGGTTGCACGGTCGAATTTACACCTCTGTTGTGTGTGTGTGTGTGTGTGCGTGTGTGTGTGCGTGTGCGTGTGCGTGTGCGTGCGCGTGCGCGCACGCGCGCGTGCGTGTGTGTGTGCGTGCGCGTGTGTGTTCGTGCTTGTTACTGAATTTACTGAGATCGGGATGTTTCAATCCATATTAAACTCTGCTGTAATTTCAAGGGCTATCAACTTTCGCTTGGATATTAATTTAATCCGTTTGTCGTCCACTTAAAAAACGATATTTAATTTGTTCACTTTCCGACCTAACATATGATTGGAGTCTAAACATTTGACTAAAGTTAATGAGAGAGAGGGGGGGGAGGAGATGGAGAGAAAGAGAGAGAGAGAGAATGAAGTTTTATTAATCTTTTTATACTCAATTTTTTTTCATTTACTACATTGAAATTTTTTTAGAGAAAGTTGGGGAAAATGCAAAAACTTTTTCTTATATAAATAAATTTTGTTCTTATATAGAAAAACGTTCATAATAATAATTTAAGTAAATTTACTCAATTGTTATACTTCTGTGAGCGGTAGTGTATAGAAAGTATAGTATTGTATAAGGAAAATTTGTGTAAGGAAACAAGTCGTCAAAGTCGAGTAATACGGAGCACACATCAGTGCGCACATCAAATAAGTATTCGATAATGGACGCGATGTAGTACTGACATATCCATGGCACATAAAATAATGGAAAAACTCAAGGTCAAATCATGGTCACCATCTTGCCCCCTAGCCACTGTACAACTTCTATCTGAAATTTATCTTCTCAAAAATGTCTTTTGAAAATATTGAAATGCATAATTAAAAATGGGAATAGTAATCTTGTGTAATAAATGTATATTACCAAATTATGTAACATTGTATATTTTTTTCAGAATTTTTATGAAGCTATGTACATTTCTTAAATCGCGTATGGAATCAGTTCGACGTATGACTCGTGAAATATTACAAAAAATTATGATAACGTTAGGACCAAAGTATCTTCATCATCTTTTGAAAGAAACAAATACGTTATTAACAAAGGGTTTTCAAGTGCACGTTCTCGTGTACACTATTCAGTCTGTACTACTTGCATTGAAACCTTATTTTCAGAAATCTGATGTTAATCATAACTTACATAGCATTTTGTCTGTAAGTATTACTATTACATATTATTTTTGTTATAACTTGTAATACAGTAAATTACATCGTAGATATATGTCATGTGTTTCTAAATATTTGACTAAGCTTTGCCGATGTATTCTATTAATCCTATCGATGAAAAAAATAATTATATATTATATACTACGTGGGATGTTTCCAAAAGTATGGGAATTTTGTTTTAAATTCTGTAATTTATCAATTTTTGTCTATGTAACACTATAGTTTTTAATATAATTCCTATTTAACTGCATACACTTGTCCCAACTAGTTTTTTAAAACCATTTTCATAAAATTTTTGTGGAGTGTCTTTTATCTACTGGTTTATAGTACGTTTAATGAAATCGCACACCATGTGGAGGTTTTTTCGAAATAATTAAAAATTAGAAAATAAATAAAAATTATTTTTCACGGAAATCACAGAATCTTTTCACGAATATACAACAATATACTTTCAATATTAGAAACTGTAGAAATGTACTTGTCATTCTATGTATATATGGTGTTGCCATCCATTAATATTAATGGCTTAATAGAATACTGAAAATACTGGAAATACAAATTTTATGAAATAATTGAAAAAGTTTTTTCTGTATTTTTAAATAATTGAAATAATTATTTTTACAAAGGTGTGCAAAGTTGATCTATTTGGATTAACTGCGGAAGAAAAGGAGATAGCCGGAATTGTTAAAAAAGTATCAGAGGCTAAGAGCACCAAGAGTTTCGACATTTTCCATATATTAGCGGAATTTATAACGGAATCTTGCTTATTGGATTTAATTTTACCGTTGAAAGAAGTTCTGGTGAAAACGCACTCGCACAAAACGATACATAAAGTTACAGAATGCTTACGAAACGTAGCTTTAGGATTAGCAGATAATACTTACATATCGTTAGAACGAATACTTGTATTTCTTTACGGTATAATTTCGGAGAACATACCAGATCTTATGATTGAAAAAGAAAGTAAAAAACTCACGGAAGAGGAAACGAAAACTTTGATGTGGCAACAGTCCGATTATTTCATTATACCAGTAGAACCTAAAAACAGAATGGGTGTTAAAACTGCAGCGAAAACCACCAAACGTGCCAATGTTCATGTAATAATAGAATTTGGTTTGAGATTGTACCATATTCTATTAAAACGGGATAAAGTTTCCATAGAATACAAATCTTATTTAGAACCGTTTGTGCCAGTATTGCGCGATTGTTTAACTTCTCAACATGTTAAATTGTGCACTACAGCGTTACAATGCTTCAACTGGATGTTCAAGATGGACTTGGTTTCGATACACGCAGTTATATCAGATATCTGTACCGCCATATTCAGCATTTTGCACAAATACGCCGTTGCAGGATTAAGCAAGGGGGACAATTTCAATCTCGTAATGGCCGCATTCAAATGCATGTCCGTAATTGTTCGTGATGTGAAGTATTTCAGCATCGACGCCGATCAATTGAGGATTCTTATTTTATATGCGGAACAAGATCTACACGACAGTGATAGGCAGTCTACTGCGTTTACTTTACTCAAAGCTATAATACACCGAAAAATGATTATTCCCGAAATGCACACTGTCATGGAGAAAGTAGCTGTGCTGAGTATCACCTCGGAGCTAGAATATATTAGATTGCAATCGCGCTCTGTGTTCTATTCATATTTAATGGAATATCCGCTTGCTAAATATTTAGAGAAACATATACATTTTTATCTCGCTCAATTGAGCTATGAAACGCAACCAGGCCGATTAAGTGCACTAGAAATGATTCATACTATTGTTACGGGATTCCCGTTGAAAGTTCTAATTAGAATATCAGGAAATATATTTCTCATGGTTGGTGCGAGATTGATGAACGATGATGATCCGACTTGTCGTAAGCTCTGTGCGAAATGTATAAGAGAAATGCTTACTCGAATATCTTCTAATGAAAGAAATAAGATGTTTGATATAGTTCTTGGATGGCTAAGTGATTCTAAAATAAAACACCGGGAACTGGCGGCACAATTATGCGGTATATTTGTGATTGTTGAAAAAGATGAATTTGATTCACGTCTTGACAAAGTTTTACCGTTATTATTGAAGCAGTTCCATGCAAATTTCTCAATTTCTGAGAACACAAACTATGAAAAATTCATAAAATCAAATGACTCAAATTATTTACCGAAAAATTCCAATCTGAAGGATCCAGAAAGGATGAAAGATCATCACTTGTATCAAGTGTTACAATTATTATTAAAAATATCAGCACATTGCCCATCTTTCCTCACCAGTGAACAGTATAAAGATTCTATTAGCTCTTTTGCAGGTAAGCTATTTTTTTAGAAAAAACAATAGTTCTTTTTCTAGTACAAATACTATACTTTTATATTTTGTTTCAGAATATAGTCAGTCTTTGCTGGCTCACCCTCATGTATGGGTTCGATTAGCAGCTGCGCAATTGATTGGTTTTATATTGGCTGCTCTTGATATTGATAAAGTTGTAGAACTTTTAAATAATCCAGAGAATAACACAGTACAAGAGGGTTATATGTACTCGAAGCCAGCAAATACTTTAAGAAGTTTGATTTTAGACTTAGTGGCACAATTTTATCCAGATATGACACTTGACGGATTAGGAGATCAAGTTGTGAAAAATCTAATTTTCATCGCGAAGATGTTAACATCAATTAACAAAACTATAGTAAAAAATGATGAGCAACATGATAAAAGTGAAGTAAAAGATAGCAATAATTTATCTCTTCCTTGGCTTATTAGAAGACTAAGAAAAGCTATTAATATAGAAATAACACAAGCTCCTAAATCGATATCAGTGGTAAGAATGTTTTTATTTATCAATATTTACGTATAAAAAGTTCATGAATGCAAAAAACTATATGAACAATGCTTTCAGAGAATTGCAGTGTTTAAATTCATTGCTGGTATAGTAGCTACAGTTCCTATGGAGCATTTAAACGTGATACTTTTTAACATCATGTCTCCTTTAGTACGAGAAATAGCGACAGAAGAAACAAATGTCGAATTACGCCGACTTGGTAAAGAAGTAACTAGTATGATTAAAAAATCTATAGGGAATGAAGAATATGCCAAATTACTGAGTCGAGTACAACAAAAACTTGATATTAAGAGAGCAGAAAGAAAAAGAATTCGTGTACAGCAGGTAAAATTATCTATCTTTCTATATCTGTTAATTTTTATGTATACATATTGTATTATCGGTCATTTATGATTATGTGCTTATAGAGAAATTAGATACATGTGTGCGCGCGCGCGCGCGCGCGCGCGTGTGTGTGTGTGTATGTATATGTATGTATATATATATGCCGGTGTTTGTATTACCCAAGATGTGCCGTGTGGAGGTCGCACGGTATGTATATACGTATGTATGTACGTATGTATGTACGTATGTATGTACGAGGGTCGTC